GGGGGGAATTGAACCATTACACAACCAGGCCACTTAAGACTTTTGCTCCCTGCCTGCACAGGTCTTCTAATAGATTCCTTGACCACCTGTTTTGAGTAAAAGATGAAGAAGTGTGAATGGTAGTTGAACAGTCTGGTGAACCTATGATTCACCCACCCCATAGCTGCCACCAATCGGCCTGTAGTTGCTCCGGTTGGACAAGAATTCCTCTCTGTTGGCTCATCATAGGAATGTGTAGCCCTCTCGACAACCCATTACTGGTGTGTATAAGAAAGATGTAGATGTCAAAGTTGAGGGTTCTATCATTCTTTGGCCCATGGAAAAAAGATGTTTAACAATCAAAGTGAAGATCTCTTCTGCGCTGGTGTAGTGGAGGCTCTCCAAGTGGTAAAAGGCAGGTGTTTGTCATGGCATATGATTCTCGGCACCTCCGTTTCTTGCATTTAGTGTGATTCCCTATGGGATGAGTCACTGGAAGGCTAATACTAACTAAATTTACAGGTCAGGTTGCTGAGGCAGACATCTCTCAGGAAACCCTGTTGTAAGACAGCAAAGTTGATTAGTTACAGAGAATATGTGTTTCCACCCAACGCCTAGTTTGACTCTGATTCTGCCCTACTTCTGATGTTGCCTAATATGAAACCAGTGTGTTTACTGATACTCATAACCAAGAGGAGAAAGAACAAAAAAGGAAGGTGTTATACAATGTTCCTGCCTTCCACGTTCTCTTGAAGTCCTAACAAGCTCCTTGGCTCTCTTACTTGTTTGCTTTCTTTAGCCGCAGACCATTCCAAAGGTTTTACTATGAGCTTCTGTCTTTCCTCTCCCCTCCTGTGCCTTTCTCTCATGCCACAGACGCAGTGGGTGATGCCAGCCAAGAAGTTCAGCCTAAGAATAGCTCCTTGGCTCCAGTCATCCATTTGAGCCACATAAGCATGGCCCTGCCCAACCTCAGGAGCCAGGCTGCAAACTGACCCATCTCCTGGGGACAATATTTTTTACCCACCTTCTCAGCAGCGAGGGAAAGCAAAAACTGAATTTGCTGTTCTTGGGTAGAGCCAAACTTAGTACTAAGAAGTGATACAAAACTACGGTTTTGCACCGCAAGCTCCAGAGCAGATAATTATCTCTCAGTGTCATGTCTTAAAACAAGAAGGAGGATTTCAGTTTTGGCCTTCAAGTGCCAAAATGTTGAAAACGGGTACGGCACGATAGCTGTCTGTTGTTTCCCACACGAACCGCTACGCACCTTGTGGTCTTTTGGAAAGACCTGGCTGCTCTCGAGTGATGTTGCCGTTAAAGGTTAGCTGTCTGTTATCCTTCCCGTAGTGGCCCCATTTCCATAGATTTCGCTTCTCATGGAACTCTGATGGGGTCAATCTGTTAGGGTTTGAGGATACAAGATCTTCCTTTTGCCGAAAATGTTTGAGCGGTGGAAGAATGAGTTGTTCTGAGGCTGATGCGCTCTTGTTTGCAATTTTATTGATCGAGTTAGATGACATTGTTTTCTTTGGATGGGCGGCGTTCTCTTCAATAATAATCGGGAGCCGTCAAGAGAATTCCAGGGGTACGGAAAACCCCAGGGTTTTCTGTGTATAAAGTACTCAGGCGTGGTTTGGTAGTCTTCCTTCCTGGTGGTACTCTTGGGCCGTGCAGCTTCCCCAAGGCTGTCGAGGTGGCAAAGTGTGTGTAACCTAGTCATCCACACACGCTCTATGTGATCTCCCAGGAGACGGAAAACGGATTGTAACTTTTTGCACCCAGGTGCTACCACCCACTGAGTTATCAAGCCAGAATTGTTCTCCTTAGTGATGATTGAATTATCTAATGCTTATGAATGGGGGCTGGGATAAAAAGCCGTACTAGAAATGCAACATCGAAGTGCTATGAGCAGAATATTTATAGTGAAGACCTCCATGTTATGGGAAGAGTATTGGGTGCTTTTTTTGGGGGGGGATCTTTGACACAGTCTGTCCACCCCATGACTGCAATCTGGGTAGATCTTGAGCAGACTACACAACCTGTACAAATCAATAGCAACAAAACATCATTTAAGGGCATTTTAGTTCCTTAGGCCTACTAAAGACCTAGCAAAAGGTCTCTGCTTATGAATGGGGGCTGGGATAAAAAGCTGTATTTGAAATGCAATATCAAAGTGCTGTGAGCAGAATATTTATAGTGGAGACCTCCATGTTACGGGAAGAGTATTGGGTGCTTTTGGGGGGGGGGGTCTTCGACACAGTCTCACCCCATGACTGCAATCTGGGTAGATCTTGAGCAGACTACACAACCTGTACAAATCAATAGCAACAAAACATCATT